TGGATCAGGCTGAGATTAGCGATATGGGGCCACTGAGTGGGAACTCTAGGTTTAATATAGCAGCGCACACAGCTTAAAGAAATGTCTTAAGTTTGACAGATTGGATGGAGAGCTTGTCAAAAAGATGTTCTACACAAAAGGAGCTGCAGACATATGACACTTTGGCTTAGGGTTGATGAGGGATTTTAAGGTTCAGGGAATTGGAATGCTGGAGTGGGTACATGTAAAACCCACTACATTGGGTTTTAGCTCTCTACATTGTAGCTCTTTACAATGGGAGGACGTAGAAGACATGCCCTTCAATAACCCTATAACACTTAGATGGAGTGGCACTAGCACATTGAAGAGCTTTTGTTGCCGCGTGCTCTTCTTGTGCCAGACAGTGCTGCTCAATTGTAGTAAATGTGATAGTTTGCATCCTGGATTAGCAGGGGTCAGGGGGCACTAAATCACCAAAGGCAAATGAGCAATTATTATAACTGGCAGCAGAGGCGAAGCAAGGCTTACAACGGCCTGAGCTGTATGGACCTTTGGTACGGGTAAGAAGCCTCAGTTTTGTTGTTGTTTTGTTTTTTTAATCTACATAAGCAGAAAAACTCGAGAACCAAAGAAAGGAAGGCTACATTGTAGCATAGCAGTAGGGAATCTGGTCACCAACCAATTTCCAGACTCATCCAGTGTATAGATACAGAACTCCTTGAGAAAGGAACCAGACCCAAAACTGGGACTTCTAAATTTTTGAAAATTTTAAGACTTCAGGACTCTTCTGTTTAATTATTTAAGTCACCTCCTCCCACAGCAAGAGAGAAGGTTACGGTGTAATGGTCACCATCTGACAGAAGGAGAGACGGGCTTGGCGTCCCACATGCAGAGTAATGGCTAAACCAGGGCTGTGGCCTCTTGCTGCCTGGGTGAGGGTCCAGATTCTTTTTACTCTCCTTCAGAGCCACTGGAAATGGATTAACATAAGAGTTACAGAGGTGGGTATGGCTACCACTGCCCCAGGGGAAGGGCTTGGTCTTGATCCAGAGATGGGGTAGGCAGCTGACATGGGTTTCTAATGCTCTTTATGCTCCAGGGAAACGCTGAGCACCCTCACTCCCATCCCGGGCAGTGCTATGAAGGAGGTGAGGGCCTTCCCCATCAGCTCTCTTTGCAGGGGGCTCCACTTGACATGGGCTGTCCCACCCCTTGGCAGGTCTGACCCAGCAGCAGAGACACCAGGATGCCACACTGCTACAGCTGACACCATCTTGTATCTGCTGACTGTGGGACTTTTAAAGTTATACTTTGGGGGCTGGAGGGATGGCTCTGCAGTTAAGGGCACTGGTTGCTCTTTCAGAGTATTCAGATCTGATTCCTAGAGCGCACGTGGCAGCTTATGAGTACTTGAAATGACAGTCCCAGGGAACCCGAGGCCCTCTTCTGGCTGCTAAGGGCACCAGGCACATACATGATACACAAACATACATGCAGGCAAAACACCCAAACACACAATAGTTATACTATTATGTGATAGTGATATTCACTTGGGACACCAAGCTCTATATTGTGATATTCATAGTAACACAGTAGGCTGGAGAGATGGCTCAGAGATTACGAGCATTGCCTGTTCTTCCAGAGGTTCTGAATTCAATTCCCAGTACCTACATGGTGGCTCATCACCACCTACAATGAGATCTGATGCCCTCTTCTGGTGTGCAGGCAAACGAGCAGACAGAACACTATATACATAATAAATAAATAAATCTTTAAGAAAATAACGGCATCTTGGGAACAAAGAAGGAAGGGAAGTTTACGGTTTAATAGTGATGTGTTTGTGTCACGCTGACAAGAGGCCATAGTCTTAGTTTTTGGTCAAATTGACGCTAGCAAAGTCATCTGGGGAGAGGGAATCGCAATTGAGAAAATTCCTCTCTATGATGGAGGATGGGGGCATTTTCTTGACGGACGGCGTGGAAGGGCCGAGCACACTGTGGGTAGCACCACCCCTGGACAGATGGTCCTGAGGGATACAAGACAGCACACTGAGCAAGTCAGTAAGCGGCACTCTTCCATGGCCTCTACTTCAGCTCCTGCTGACTTCCCTCCACAACGGACTACAAGCTGTAAGATGAAATGAATCCTTTCCTCCTAAGCTGCTGTTGGCCACGGTGTTTAACACAGCACTAGAAAGCAAACGGGACCTCTAGTACTTCTTACAACTGCGTGAGTACCTACAATCACCACAAAATAATATACTGAATTTAAAAACAGCTGTGGTGGTTTGAAAGAAAATGCCCCTCAAAGGGAGTGGCACTATTAGGAGGTCTGGTCTTGCTGGAGGAAGTGAGTCACTGTGGAGGTGGGCTTTGAGGGTTCATATATGCTCAAGATACCCCAGTGTCTCAGTCTACTTCCTGTTGCCTGCATTTCAAGATGTGGCCAGCACCACGTCTGTCTGCATGCCACCACGCTCCTGGCCATGATGATAATGGACTGAGCCTCAGAAAATGCAAGCCACCTTAATTAAATGTCTTCCTTTATAAGACTTGCCATGGTCATGGCGTCTCTTCACAGCAATAGAAACCCTAACTAAGATAGAAGTTGGCACAAGGAGTAACATGGTGATTGCTATGATCGGCCTGATCATGTTTCTGTTTGGAGGAAATTGGACTTCAGTTCTTTGAGTTAGGAAAGCAGTGGAATGCTTCAAGCACTGCTTAATGGACCATACCAGTAGGGGCATGGAAGGCAGCGGTGCTAAGAGTTATTTGAATTGTGAGGGGCTGGCTCAAGAGGTTTCAGAGGAGAAGAATTTTAATATGTTGCCTAGAGGCCATTCTTGTGCTATTTTGGTGAAAAAAGTGGCTGCTTTTTATCCTTGCCTAAAAAGCTTGCCTGAGACTAAAGTGAAGAGTTTTGGATTAATTCCTTTGGCAGAGGAAATCTCAAAACAGCCTAGTATAGACTCTATTATGTGGTTATTAGTGGTAACTCTAATGAAGATTTATAATGAAAAGGAGCCAACTGAGCAGGGATAATTACAAAAAAATAAAACTTAAGGAACCACAAAAAGTAGGATGGAACTAAGTCCCATGTTCAAGGAGACAGATTAAGAAATGGAATTAAGGAAGTGGTGACTTCAGGACAAATCCTTCCTAGCTAAGTTTCCAACTTGGGTAAAGGAACTAAAGAAAAGCTTAGAAACATTAGTCCTAACACTTGAAAGGAGGCGGCTTGTGGATCTCTGAGTTTGAGGGCAGCTTGGTCTAAAAAGTAAATTCCAGAAGAGCCAAGCTTAGGCAGTGAAGGATAGAAAGTTGGTGAAGACATAATTGAATACAGAAGCTATGTTCCAGCCCCAATGAGCAGAACTTGGCAGCTTTGGCCACCTGGTTCTGGCTTAGAGTCAAAGACAGAAGAAAGGCATTAGTGCACCTTCCTCTGAGAAAAGGAAAGCTGCTGAGGTCAGGCATGGGTCAGGGGTGTCCTGGATGGAGGTCTAGAGAGAACTGCGTGAAGCTGCAGGGAGCGGAAAGGAGTTCTGAAGAGTGCTCTGACATCAGACATGGAGATGCAGAGTTTAGAGTTTGCCTAGTTGGTCCAGTATTTCCTCACTATGCTCCCCTCCCTACATGTTTGGAATGGTAATATATATCTTGTGCCATTATATGTTGGAAGTATGTGCTCTGCTTTTTAATTTGATTTTACAGATGATTGCAGTTAAGAGATTGCATGAATCTCAGAAGAGACTTTGAACTTTAGACTTTTAATAAGTTTAGGAGTGGTATAGATTATGAGGACTTTTGAAGTTGAAAATACATTTTTGCATCATGATATGGGTACAAGCCTTTGGGGGCTAGGGAGTGGACTGTGGCGGTTTGAAAGAAAAAGGCCCTCAGACGCAGTGGTACTATTAGGAGGTATGGCCTTGTTGGAGTAGGTGTGGTCTTGTTGGAGGAAGTGTGTTACTGTAGAGATGAAATTTGAGGTTTCACATATGCTCAATATACGCTCACTGTCTCAGTCGATCTACTTCCTGTTACCCGTATATCAAGATGTAGCCAGCACCATGTCTGCCTGCAAGCCGCCATGCTCTGAACTAAACCTCTAAAAATGTGAGTCACCTCAATCAAATGTTTTCCTTTATAAGAGTTGCCATGGTCATGGTGTCTCTTCACAGCAATAGAAACCCTAAGTAAGATACCAACTATCCATGCTTTTCATCTGTGATGGGATAAACAGGGAACACGGTTTCTTCCCACCATGAAACAAAACATCCAGTACTGCTCATGAGATAAATCATTCAAGCCCAATAAAAATCTAATGCTTCGCTGAGTTCAACATCTAATGACTATTCTCATATACACTATTACCTGCTCAAAGGCACTAGTAAACAGAAGAGTGTCTGAGGTAGAGGAGATGAAGTTTCCCTGAGCTGGAGCCACCTACTAGCTGGAACCAACATTTAACCAACAAGCCCCTCCCAGCGATGGTTCTATCATTCTGTTTCGGTCCTGTTAAGCTGTTCTAACCCTAAGAACAAAGAACCACCATCAGAGAATGGGAATTACACTGGTGACAAAGAATCACACATTTTAACAGAGTTATAAGGTCCTTTAGGTGATTGTATAGCTTTCATTTTTACAGTAGAGGAAACACAGTAAAGAGACCTGTTCCATGAGTGGCTGTTCTAAGACATGGACATTTAAAACTGTGTATTGATCCAGTGATTAAGACAGGGTTGGGGCTGGAGAGAGGGCTCCGCGGTTAAAACTGCTAACAAACCTTGCCCAAGAACCTAGGGTTGGTTTCCAGCGCCCACATGGTGGCTCACAATCATCCAAAACTTCCAGTTCCAGGGTATCCTTTCCTCCCTTTTCTCATCTCTGCGGGTTCCTGTGCATACAAACACACACACACACACTCACAAATGAATCAGCTTTTTTTTTAAAGTCACTATATGATGCCGAGCTGTCTACTTTCACCCAGCACCTAGCTCAGCGCCCGATATTTACAAGCTGAGTCAGCAGTCGAATGAACGACACCATCAGGAGCCCCACGAAGGGTCCAGAAGCCTCCGGCCGGTGGTGACAAACAGAGGCAGGCGGTGGTTCAGCGGCCAGTGCCCGGCTCCCGGGCCAGGGCGTCGCCAACCGACCAGGGGGCATGGCTGAAGGACAGGCCCCGGCAGCCAGAGGTCACCCCGCCACGCACGGCCTTCTCTGGCGGCCTAGCGCAGGCGTCCAGGGCCCTCCGAGGCCCGGGAGAGCCGAACCACCACCCGGTCCCCGCCTGCGCCCTCGCTTGTCTACTCACGACGCGCGGCGTCCCTGCGTCTAGCCGGCCCTTCGCCCTCTGTGTTTTCCCTTCCGCCGCGCTCACCCATTGGCCAGCGTAGGCCACGCCCACTAAAGCCAAAAGCGTGCATTTCATTGGTCTTCGCTTGGGGGCGGGGCTGGAGAGCGGGGCGCTTCACCCGTAGAGTCGTAGAGTCGTTCAGGCTGCTGCTGCTGGGGTTGAGGAAGGGAAGGTGGCAAAGGCGATGTGGCCGACCCTGCGTTACTTAGGCGCTGCCTGCGGTCTGGCCCGATGTCGCTTTGCTGGGGGTTTCCTCCCGGCAAGCGAGCGGACGCCTGGGGGGCCGGGGTTGCTGTGTGGGGGTGGCCGCAGCTCCAGCACTAGGTAAGTGAGTGACGGTGGCCTGCGTTTGCTTCTCCCCTCTGAGATGTCTCGAATTGGAACTCGACGTCTCTGTCCCTGGGGATGGAGTCCTGATTTTGTGGTCCGGCCTTGGACTCCAGGAGCTGCTGAACCTGCAGGGTTCATCCGCTGCATTTGTGAGCGGGAATCGGGGGGGGGGGGGGGAAGGCAGTATTGATTGGAGGGTCAGGAGCGAATTTGTCTCCGAACACAACCTCTCCGTTTCTTAACCACTTTAAAGGCTGAATGGTGAATTTGATCCTAGTCTGGCCCCTAGGTGAACATTTTGAGGATTAAGGGACCTAGTACACTGTAAATAAGTACGCTGATTCTTAGCTAGCTAACATTCCCTGTGTTGCATGGAAGATCCAGAACTAGGCTTCAGTAGGTCAATTCCTTGCACACATTAGACTTGTAGCTGAGAAGCAACCCAGTTGCCTACCGTGCGCTACCTAGGAAAGCAGACAAATGCAGTGTTGTATGCGAAAGCTTTAAGGGGGAACGCTTTTGGTTGTTTTGAGACAGGAAGGTGAGCCAGCCGTGTGAATATGATTTTAGTGGACGACAAAAGTATGGAAAGACATTGGAGAGGGACAGTGTCACAGCGGTGTTTTTGTTTAAGCCACACATTAAATTTTAGTCGAAGACCTATAGAATGGTGTTGAAGCAAGGTTTCCCTGGTAGCCCTGGCTGTCCTGTAACTCCCAATGTATATCGGGCTGGCCTTCAACTCTCAGAGATCAACTTGCCCTTGCCTTCCAAGTGCTGGGATTAAAGGTGTGTGCCACCCCACCTGCTCCACCTTTTGAAACAGAATCTCTTATGGAGATTGGCGGGCCAGGGAGCTGCGTGCCTCCCTACCCTACCTACCCCAAGGATGGGTAGAACCAAGCTTTTACATAAAGGTGCTTGAGTCCTCATGTGTGCACAGCAAGCCTTTTACCAATTAACCATTTCCCTAGCCTCTCCCCCACCCCAGATTGTATACTTTTTATTTTGGAGCAATTGTAGATCCATAGGAAGTTGCAAAAAATCACAGAATGGTTTTATGTTGCCTTCCCCATTTCCCACCGTTCTTCCAGTGTTAGTATAGTACAATAGCAAAGCCAGAAAATTAATATTGATACAATGCATACATGGTCAGGTTTCTGCACTTTGTGTTCTGTGTGTAGCTCTGTGAAGTTTAATCAGACTTTGTATGATCCCCTCAATTTGGGCATCGAAATATCCCATTGTGGACCTGGGCATAGGTGCCCACCAAGATGGCAGAGTCCAGCAGGCAGCTCCTTCTGAGGCTAGATGAAACCCTAACGGCTCTCCACAGTTTAGTCAGGCATTGAGCTACAGTACCTGCCCTGGGAGCAAAACGAATGACAGTATATTTAAGTGCTGGCCTCTGTGATGGGCAACAGTGTCACCAGTCAAGTGTGGACAGCGAGGGATCAGCCAGACCAGCCTCTATTACAAGAATGCCAATGATACCCTAGAATGGGGTCAAGCTACACGGCCAGCTGGCTGTGATCGATTAGTCTTCAAAAGCTGAACTCATCTTCTGCTAGTGGGCAGATGTCTGTGCTTCACCTTATGGAGGGATATGGCTCCAACTCTGCAAATAAAGAAAAGGTAACTACATTTTCCAGTGCAGGGCTGTTTGGCCCTGGACATCATGAATTCCCAAGAAGGCTCTTTTATCTAGCGTCGGGTGCAGAATGACTCTTCCCTGAGGAAATGGATCTGCATTGGAGACAAGTGAAGAAACACTGGCAATACTATTGTGAGGTGACTCCACTGGATAACAGACTTGGACACTCTTAAAGCTGAGTAGAAAGTCTTCATTGCCATAGCCAGTGGCCGCACAGGGAACCTGCCCAAGTCATGCAGCCCCGAACCTCTCTGCTCTTTGACTTGTATGCCCCAAAACACATCCTGGATGACACCCTTTTATTATCAATGAAAGTGAAACTACAGAAGCCAAAAAGCAAGGTTAGTGCATTTAGGAACTTTCCTGGATGCTGGAATTGTGGACTAGGTCTTGGATGGACTCGGTCTTCATTCCATTGGCAGATTTTGAGGCCTACATGCTGGGTTCGAAGGTCAGAACGGTACTTCCAACATGGCGTCGGTTGTGCTAAGGTCTGGCAGCCTGTTACATCATCTGGAGAGCAGAACCTTGTCCATAGCCTATCCTTCCATGGGGCACCCATCATTTGTCTCACGTAGTGGGCCCCTATCCTCATCATCCCTTGTTCCACTTATACCCTAACCTCCCTCCTAACCTCCCTCCCTGCTCCCCAGGAGCTCATGATAAATGATAAATGTGCCATCATGGTTGGAGCTAAGCTGAAGAAGGTGCAATGGACAGACAATTCATTCAAAGACTCTAGTCCCAGCAGAACCTCAACATCTGATTCTGTCTAGGTGGGTAGAGCCTGGAAGGAAAAGGAAGCCCCACCAAGGAGCTGAACTAACTTCGGGTCAAAAGGAGAGTGCAGCTTGCAGTTTACCAGACAGATGAGCCTGCTGACAGAAAAGACAAGCCCAAAGGAGATCCAGCACCGCTAAGGATCTGAACCGCCAGCGACCACGCAGCTCCTTAGATGCTTGTGGGAAGCTTGTCTGGTGACAAGCCCCAAATTAAGAGCCACTCTCAGCTGCATCTCACTCTAAGGATAGTGCGAACAGCATGCGTGTGGACACCCGTGAAACAGGCCCTTAAAAGAGGTTGTCTTGAGAGAGGTGAAGAACATCGACTCCATCGGGTGGGCCCTGAGTGGAATCAGCATCCCCTAAAGTGGGCCATCAGAGAACAGGAGGAACTAGAGGACCCCGTCTGTGAAGACTGGGATGTACGTGTCTCAACCTATGACACAGCAAAGGAAATCAAGTTAAACTCCTGGATTCTTCTTGTTCTGAGATTCTATTTGATTCAGAATATCAGGGCTATTCTTTCGTGTGTGTGTGTTTTATATTTGATTAAGTGAACATTTCTCTGGTGTATAGAGAACATTCTCAAATTATCTTCTTTGTTAGATGACTTTCAAGTTTTCTCGCAGGTGATGCTGTTGCTGCCATGGCAGTGAGCAGCAGGGCCTGGTCCAGCCTTGCCATGCTTTGGAGTCATGGCAGCTGTGGTGTTAACAGTATGTACATACAGTGTGTGTGTGTTCTGTCCGCACAACAAATGGTTCATTGTCGATAAATACGTAACTAAGATGCTCCGACACCACAAGATTTGTTCTCTCCCCTTCTCTAGTCACCACATCCTATCTCTCCATTCTTCCTAACTCCTGACCGTTACTCTATTCTCCATCAGAAAACTTTGTCATTTTGAGAGTCTTATGTAAGTGAACCCTTAACACTGATTTTATCATACAATGTGATACGTTCGTGTATATATATTATCTTATTATCTCTTATATGCATGGTATATTACACATTACACATAATATAAGCAACATATAATATGTAATGTGATAGTTGTTATATAATATATAAGTAACATATATTATTATAAATTTGTACTTTAATTTCTCACTAATGAAAATTATGCAAGTGAAGTTTGGTGAGGTCTGGAAACATAAATTCATAAGACTTGCTTTCTCTTAAGCTCATTTGATATTGTCATCGTCGGTGGCGGAATTGTGGGGCTTGCCTCTGCCAGAACACTCATCCTGAAACACCCTGGCCTTTCGATTGGTGTTGTGGAAAAGGAGAAAGATTTAGGTCTGTATCCCGTCAGCTTGCTGGGAACCTGCTCATTTTTTTCAGGCTGAATTGGTGATGAAAAATGTTGATGTTTGTGTCTCGTTTTGGAGTCTCGAAAGTCTGGGACAAGGGCTCACATGGTAGTGGTTGTTTTGAGGGGTTGTGAGGTGGTAGGAAGAAGAGAGGGTGTGGGGAGACTAAGGATCACACAAGGGCACACTCTGCATGTGCTGCTGGAGGTTGAGTACACTGGTACCCAGGAAGCAGCGTAGTCCTCCCAGGTTTATGCCCATTCTCTATCGGCTTTTAGGAGTGTCCCTATTGTCACTAACAACTCCACCTTCCTCCAGAGAGAGAGAGAAGGCCTGGGAGCACGTACAGTCTTAGGGGACCTTTAAAGTGGTGTTCAAACAAAGCGTAAGTCAAAGTCAGAAATGGGCAGGAATTATTTAACATTGATAGCTGCTATAGGAAGTTGCCAATAAGCAGAACAAATCTAGGCATTTTTAAATGATGTTGCCTCTGCTAGCTACATGTAGAATTGCTCACTTCTTAGGTTTTGTGTGAGTCATTTATTTTTCTTGACCCTGTCTCTCTTGTTTTATAGCTCTTCACCAGACTGGACGGAACAGTGGGGTCATACATAGTGGAGTTTACTATAAACCCGAATCTCTGAAAGCTAAATTGTGTGTAGAAGGCGCAGCCCTCATCTATGAGTACTGTAACCTCAAGGGAATTCCCTACAGGCAATGTGGCAAGGTACAGCGTTTCACTCGGGCCGTGGCTTGTTTGTAACTAGCGTTTCCTTGGGTTTAGTGTTAAAAAGTTTGTATACAAACTTTAGTGTATTTTCCAACTTTGTGGCATATAAACTTTAGTAGTAAGATC